GAAAACAGGCGGGAGGGAGCGAAGGGCTAGAGTAGCCAACATCGGAGCAGTAGAAAATGTACAAGGAAAAAGTAGGCGAGCAGTAGAAAGAAAAGTCTAGGCCGGGGTTGCGATTGAAGCCGGAATCGAGCACGGATTGTGCTCAGCCGTTGCACAAGCGGTTGGATACGAAACACACAGTCCCGAGTGAGATGACGTGTTTGAACTGAAATGAAGAGATGAACGAATCGGATTGGAGGGGTGATGAGCAGAGTGTAATGAGTAACTGGTAATTGACTGCGAAAGTGATCGTTGATTACAGAAACCGTAAGAAAAAGAAAAATGAACGATGTGCAATTTTAAGTCAGAGTAGAGTATGCAATCGATTCATTTCAACTGTGAACGATCACGATCAAAACGGTCTATCTGTTTGTCAATCGATTGATTGGTGGATCAATCGTTGAGCGAAAACAGAAACAAAACTAGAGATCAAAGAGACGCAAGCGTGTAAAATCAATGGCAAAAATATGGCATCAGAATCGAACGTGAGCAAGATGTGATTGATGGTCGATCTAATGATCAATGCAACTAACTGATCGACACTGATCCTATGGAATTAAAGCTCTTGATTTTAAATAGTTGTATTATCCTATATTCAGAAACAAACGTAAATCAAACACATTGACATTGGGTATAACAAAATCCTGATTGATTGCGGATAGTAGGAATTGAATATGGCCATTACGGATCGACGATGATGCGTCACAAATCGGAACTATTCAGGTCACATGTGAATGTGTGGATGAGGAACGCGCTATTTGCAGAGTTACTTTACTTCATTTTACCGCGGCTGGCTCCTTGGAGAGGATAAGCTGGCTCGAGACATGATCATCAAATTATTTGAGAGTTTGGTACGAGAGACGTACCCAGCGTCACTCAACGTATTTTATTTTGAGGGCGAACCTCTAGCCTTTGCACAACCAAGTGGAGGTGTTTTCTCACCACTCAAGTGAGAGGACAAAAAGCTGACATCCGAGGCTATAACCGGTTTGGTGGACCACGGGACCAGAAAAACTGATTCCAAATCAAGCAAGAGGAGGCGTACGAACCACACACACACAACTTCCTGGTTGTGGCAGTGGTCACCAGCTCAATCGGGCATCGAGGTGTATTGGACACAATTGGACGTTTGACCCTGTCCGAAAGCCGTTTGATCCGATGAGAACTGGACACCGGGTTCCAATGCATTGCGATTTTCACACACCGCCCCCCCCCTGCTGCCTTGCGGGTCAGGCTTTTGCCAGTTGAAGGCTCCGGTTGTGGATTCCTCGAGAAAATTCACCTGACTTGGCCTGGGCAACCTGGCAGTATTGCGCCCACATGCAAATCATGGAACTGGTTTCTTTTTCTAAAGATTATTGTACCATGATCCGTTTGGCACACAGTATGGCATCAGACGTGCGTGCTTTCGCATTGTGAACTAATACCGTCCTTTTCGGTCACAATCTATAAACTTGATGAGGATAATTGATGCTGAAATCCCCGACACAAATGGAACGGAGTTGATTCCTACGTGGTTGCCAAAAACGGTTCGCTAACCTTTTATTTAATACGAGGACAATGATGGGTTTCCATCAGTTTTTCGCACTTTTCAGAAGTCTATAAAGACAGAACGTCTGAGCTTATCTGAATCTGATTTTCTGTAGTGGACTTCGAAGAACGAATGCCAAACAGGCTCCTGTCGGGTTGGAAAGAGGACCAAGCGCACTAATTGATGCAACCGATTAGTGAATCTGAGATTCTGAATGCTTGACCCAACGTTCCAGAAAATTGTTGTTGTTCTTGTTTAACGTAGTTGATGGCTCATAAGCAATCCGACCTCAATCAACTAGTCGAGACATAAGGCACATTCATTCTCGTAATGGAGTTTTGTTATCTCTCCATGAGACACCAAAACGCACTGAAAATGTACCACATAACACTAACAATATGATTACAGACAGGCTCGCCTGATCTCACCTTATCAATTCACTTGTGATTCGCAAAGATATGGTTTATTTGTATTCAGCCAGGTCATGAAGATGAGGGTCAACATGCGGCAGAATGGTGATTATGGAATTTCTTCAACCAACCGAGGGAAGCCAAAACACAGTAATTAAAATCGCCGCATGAAAGTGCATGGTTGATGGTTGTAAGAACTGAACCAATGTCGGTGGTCCAGTGGACCTAAGATGAGGTAGACGATACACGAGTTGTGAGACAGTGAGTACACACGTATGTACCGGTAAGAGCGCAGGAGTGAATCTGTTTTAACTAGCGCACCGGAATCGATCCACGAACGATTACTGTGGTGCCATCGCGCCATCCGGCTGCCTGTGAAGGGTCGAGTGTATGCCGCGGCAGTTCGGCCACTTCAGCTATACGGTGCAGAAACTTGATCAGCAAGAAAAAAGGATAAAGATAGACTGTCGATGTTTGAACTCCGCTGTCTATGCAGCATTGCACGAATTTGGTGGGGTAACCGGACGAGTAATGCTGAGTTTAGCCGTAGAGTTTCGGTATCCGCGATCGCCCACTGGAGCAAGTGGTCGACCTCCATAGATTACGTTGGTTGAGGCATGTGTTACGCATGTCACCAGATAGGTTGCCACGGCGAGTGATGCTTGGCGAGGAAGGTAGTGGGTGGAATAAAGTCCAGGGTGGCCAAGCTAAGACCTGGCACGAGGGTATGAAAATCCTTACCAGGAGTCTGGGTCACATAGGTCCTGTTAGGCTCCCTGGATGGGGATCTCGGGATGGTGGTAACCGACGGTTAGAGACGCTGAGTGTCGTAAGCAGTGGTGCTTGTGCATCTTCTCAACTTCTTTGCAACATTATTGCACTGACATTCCCTTTTCTATTCGAATATACTTTCAACTTTTTTTGTCTTTCTCCTACTTTTGATCCAAAAGAGCAGTCAAAAGACCGTAACCGAGACGGACGCACGAAAGTGCATGGTTAATGGTTGTTCAAGTTTCAACTGAAGAGTACTAACTGCCTAATGAGTTTGCACGTAGCGCTTGATTCACATGTCCGACGCTGGCTTCCCCGACCTTGTTCGACCCAGAACAAGATTCACGTACCGTAGAAGATAATGCCAGATAATGTATGCGGTCTAAATGCCTGTTTGCAGATTGGAAAACGCTGTTGGAAGAACAACTCACCTAGACGCTGATAACACAGCAGACGACAATTCCGGAATCCCCGTTCAATGTAAGAGTAATTCTCTGACACTGGGCCCAAATTAATGATTGTCGCTTCCGGTGCGGCGAACTGGAACCCCGTGTTTCCGCTATAGGGAGATGAAAAAGAAACAATAGATCGGATACACTCACATGAAATGCAACATTTTTTCATTACAAACCGAAATTGAAGTATTGTAACCCACAAACAAGACGAGGAGATAGCACACAACGGATAGAAAACACAGTTCAAATGTCAGAGGAGATGATGAAAATGTGGGAAGTTGGATAACTAATCTACATGAGTCTGCAGCGTACGCGTTTTGGTATGCAGTATTTTTTTCATACTGGTCGGGCTTGGTGATAAGGTCACAGATATTCACCATGGGAGTTTACCACACTGGTGCCGAATCCGGTTCATATTTATTAGCGTTTCTGACCGGCCGCGTTCTAAATCCCTCGAGTCCGAACCGGATAGAGGGGAATAACCGTAACTGTCTCAAAATTGAACCATAAACTGATTATCTCATCATCATTATCTGTGGCGCCATCACGACATCCGGTTGTCTGTGAAGGGTCGAGTGTATGCTGCAGCAGTTCGAACAGTCCTGCTCTACGGTGCAGAGACTTCACCATTACGGGAACAGGATAAAAATAGATTGTCGGTGTTCAAACACCGCTGTCTACGGAGCATTGCACAAGTGTGGTGGGGAAACCGGACGAGCAATGCTCAGGTTAGGCGTAGAGGCTTAGGTGATTGCGGCCGTCCACTGGAACAGGTATTCGACCTCCATAGATTACGCTGGTTGGGACATGTGCTACGCATGTCACCAGATAGATTGCCACGGCGAGCGATGCTTGGCGAGGTAGGTAGCGATTGGAAAAAAATGAAGGGCAACCAAGCTAAGACCTGGCATGAGGGTATGAAAATCTTGACCAGGAGACTGGCTCACATAGGCCCCGTTAGGCTCCCTAGCTGGGGACCCAGAGATCATGGACACCGATGGTCAGAGACACTGAGCGATATCGCTG